AACCAAAAACAGTAATAATAAAGGCGTGTCTAAATCTACTTTGTAGTTGTTTGCCATTTTTTTGGATCCGAACAATTGGGTGATTAATTGGATATGAAGTTCGGGGAAACATCAGACAACAACATTCTGTCTTCATCTTTTTAGAAAACGTTTTATTGAAAGAAAAAGCCTCTTGATACTTTGGGCAGAGAGCTGATTGGCTGAGCACCTTTCTGTTTGAAAAGGTGAAAGCTGTTAAGAAGGGCCAAACATAATTTACATTTTGTGTGGTTTGAAAGTTGGGTATCCCAGCTTTAATCACAATTACATTTTCAAACTTGAACAGGTTTAGGGTTAGGAAACAGGGAATCTGGTGGCACCACACCTCCTCCACCAATTTGTCATCTTAAATTTACATAACTGAAGTGCTTTGTTATTTTCCTGTGGATTCCTGGTTTCCAAGAAATTGTTATCAATATTGTTTATTTAGGAAATAAGGTATGACGCCAAAATTTTTTTGCCATAAAGAAAAATACAAGCTTCCTTCAATTGTATCTTTCTTGTCATGAAGGAAAGGAATAGAATGTCTCCAGGGGGCAATTAAACATTTCCTGTTGTTCCCATTTTGTGGTTTTAGGAAAAACACACATTAAACAATACTACTTAGAAATGAATAAAGTTTGTATAAAAAATATTTTTTTCAAATAAATAAACTATGATCATCCAGATATTTGCAGAGCTGAGACAATTATCAAACATGTTTTTTGGAGATGCAGGCAAAGGAAATCCTCTTTAGTTGGAACAATACAACGTGTTAAACTAAAAATACAAGCATTTCCTTACTGAAATTAAGAAGGCAGATGCAGCCTGAATTCATAATACAGTGGGCCAAAAAGATGGAAATATATACATACAACAGAAATCAAATATTAGAAGCTAAAAGATTAATCTATGAGCAGACATACTTTGTGCTAGTTTTTTTGTATATGGAAGGGAAGCACTTTTACAAATGGATGTTCATCTCTGACAACAAATGTTATCAATTAAAAAACTTATTGTGCATCTCACACATGCAACTCCTAAGTACTGAATACAGATGCGAACCTCATTCTGGGATAGGACTAGAAACAGTACAAACTTTCATTTGAAATATGAGTGGTGCTAGTTTTGTTTGTTTGATTGCCGCTATTGAAAAACAAAAAAAAAACAAAAAACAGAATTATCTGGCAAGTTGGCCAACCAAATAAGACTCTGCTCTCTGATTGGATTATCTGCATGCTTGAAAAACAATGTCCATCTTTTAAATTAGAATAAATCCACTTTAAACTTTTATTCAGGAAAGACCAAATTTGATTTGTACATGGGGACACATACAAAAGTGCCCTTTGAAATATTACTTATAAGTCTCCCTGAGATTTCAGAATGTGTTTTTCAGAGGAGTCACAGAAGCTTTTAGAAAGAAAAGCAGCTAACAGCAAAATGGCAGCATTCTAGCATATGTGACCATGACTCCTGATCTTTCTGCAGCATCATGTTTTTGTTTCACAGCAGTCCTGTGACCACACCAGGAATGTAAAGACGCGCGAGAGTAGCCACACAGATAAACAACTGTCACACAATAAGCTTCTGTGCCTTTGCAGAAAGATAGAAATTACTATCCTGTAATGTGTAACATAAGCTGGACAAAGACTTACACAGTGCTTTGAAAAAGTATTCATACCCCCATGGAAGATATCTAATTCGGTTTTTTTGTGTCAAAGAGAAGCTTGAAAAGAGTAGCTTGAGAAAAGTATTCGAGCTCCAATCAATGAGCTTTGATGATTGATGAATGGCAAAATGTTGACCATAGTAGATACCAAATTAGTATAATAATCTCATTGTAATTGCTATTGTTTCTTGATGGCCTCAGAATGAATGATAGTGGTCACTAAATAGAATCATGAAGTCAAAGGAACACACCAAAGAGGTTGGAGCACGGTTAGGTTTATTTACCAAGCTTTGGACATCTCACAGAGCATGGCTCAATACATCATCCTGGAACTGGAAAGAGGAGGGCACAACTGCAAACCTACCAAGACATAGACGTCCACTCAAAATAATAGCTTAAACAAGAATCAAATAAACATTGAAATTGACCACGTAAAGCTCATGGTAATTCTGAAGCAGCTGCAGACGTCACAGCTGAACTCTGGAAATCTACATGGAGCGTATTCTTGCACCCTACAAGAGGTGGCCTCTATGAAAAAATGGTAAAAAGAAAGCCACAAAAAGCTTCTTTAATGCAGCACATGGCTTGGCAGGTAGGACTTAAATACAACCTTACATTTTTGGACATTTTAATTTCATTAATGAACATTGGTCATGTGGCTCCATGAACCAATACCTTCTATGTGTCAACAACTTAGTAAAGTCCTCCGAGAACAGCACGGATGCTGTTGTGAATTAAGCTATTCAAAAATACATTGAATTGAAGTAAAGTCAAGGACAGGTCCAATACGTTGGTCTCATCTGAGCAACATTGAACAGTCAGAACCTTGTAATGATTATACAATGTGTGGATTATCAAGCAAAATGACACACTTCACTTCTGCTCATGAGCAGCATTAAGGACTGGTCAAATGTAGAGGACACATTTATATTCGGGGACAATAAAGTATAATTTACCTCATGTTACTAAAGGTTATCATACCTTATAAAAGCTTCTTACTTACACCAGACTTCTGGTAAATCCTATAGTGTCAAAAATGATCACAGTAGAAAGCAGTATGTTATATATATATATATATATATATATATATATATATATATTATATATATATATATATATATATATATATTATTCCATTCATATATTATATATGTGAATGAAAATATGTAGCATATTTTCATCAATTTACATCAATAAATACGCACATCAGGCTATGGTCTACACTTACAGCAAACAAATCATACCCGCAGATACAGTTTGTTCCTTTGGGTTTGAACATTGATGATCTGAACATCCTAACTCTGGCTACTTATTTAATTTAGAGGCTAGATGGGGTTTGTTTGATAACCATGAACACCATGTTAGGGCCAAAGTTTAACAGTACAAAATCTTTCTCCAGAATGATGAAAAGACAAATACATCTCAAAAGAATACAATGGTCTCTGGATGAACTGTGTCTTCTTGTTGCTACTAATGAAAACTGTGTGTAACGACTTATGCAACCTTTTCAGTTATGCGATGAGAGCCCTCTAGTGTCCAATAAGACTTGTTGTGATTGTATGCTTTATAGAATTTCCCCCTCTATTTCAAGTCATACAACTTCAAATAGTTGATAGTGGACTTGAAAACAAACATATATAATATATTTACAGTACATACACATCACTTGTAGGCTTAGACATTGGGATTTTTCACTGGTTACATTTGAGTACCTTTTGAGTGTTTTTACTGTTGACTTACACACCACGCACACACCAGACAGCCTGAAATATATAACAATAAAACATCATATCTAAGAACAAATGTTGTCAATAGTACCAAAAAGTTGATGGTACATGAATTGACATGGAATTTTGGAAAAATTCCATGGTAAGGGCATTCATCAAATAAATGTAATAAATTAGACGTCTCACTCTCTCCATAAACGTATTTCAATCTGGAAAGACTACTTTAAAATGATCAAAATAGTTGTCTTGTCTGTCTCCTCCCACAAACAATGTCCATTATACAGTGGCACAACAAGCTTGTGTGTTGAATTACTGCATGAATCTGATTCAATTGGTAAAACAAATGTGAAAGAACAGTCTTCTAAAACTACGTATGTGAACCTTTGACATTCCTGGAGACCACAGAAATCATCCAAACTAGAGTTCTGTTAATGAGACCAGATAGGGGAGTGTCATCTGTTGAACAGGGGGCAATTTAAGCAGAATCTTTCATGGAGTGAACCAGACTATTAAAGGGAAGACTTGTACAAACATGTGACTGGACTTGTTTATTTGACATCTTTCATTAATTCTAGCAGATTTTTTTTCTTACTAAGAGGATTAGACTTTTTCTTGCCACTGCCGCATGTCACAGTACATACAGATCTTCACATAGACCTAGACAGAAATGGTATATGTGTACATTAGTGTCCAGAAATAGATTATTGGTGTGCGTTAAAAGAAACAGGATCCCATTCCAAAATACATGCGAGTATAGTGTGACCAACATTAAAAACCCACAAAAATGTTCCTTCTGAATACTACAAAAGTTATTTTGACACAATCACTTTTATTACTTCCGAAAGGGGGTAATGGGTAAAATGAGTTATTACTTTTTGGTGGGCTCACAAAAGTTTAATCAGTTTGGTAATTCCTTTCTCGTTGATATTTCTTGGACTGAGTTATGCTTGGACTGAAGGGTTTGAATTCACAATATTGAATAAAAGATATGGTTCTCTGAGATGCAGGACATCTCGTCATGCTAACAGCTATTTTCCACAAGCTGTTATCAGTCTGAACAGAGCACTTTAATGTTTTGCACTTGCATTGGTCGATCGTTTTCACAGTGGCAATTGTCTACCGTTTTATTTCTGTACTTTTAATGTTGTTTTATGTGTACTTGTCTTGTGCACACTGGTGACTTTTGCTAATGCATTCCAATGTGGTTTTACTGCAAAAGGTAAATAAATGAATCTGAATCTAAAATAAAAACTCACCGGTGTTTATTTATCAACTGTACAAAGACTATAAAAGCAAGGGTAACAGAATTCAAGACTATTTTTGTGTAAATAGTAAACATGTTATTCTCCACAGATTTCAAATGAGGCTCTATCAGTGTGTACACAGTAAACAATCTAAAAAGAGCAACGTATCCTTCACTTGAATGTATTGAGAAGGAAAAGATACAAAAATAACAATATGCAATGATATTTATCAAAGATCTGTATTGTGAATAATAATTGAGCAAGATTGAGAGAAATCTAGAGAAAGTTGTGTTGCTATTTTTGATAAGATTGCACATGATAATAAGGACTGACAACCACAAGTTAACCGTGTGGGTCAGAGGTGAGCAGAGAGTGGACAGGTGACCTTCGGCCGAGCAGCTGCGGACTCGTCGCAGGAGCTAAAGGAGTCAATGTGAAAGGCTCTAGAACACAAAATGAAATGGGACATGACAAAAAAAAAGATTGAAATGAATAAGCATAACACTTACCCTCATGGAATACAATGTTGTGAACTGTTTCCTTCAGCTTCGAGGTCTTGAGATGATGACATCTAACACACGCACACAAACACACAAACATTATAAAAGGAGTTACTTTTCATTCTACACACGTTACACAGATTAAGTAAAATTATTTGAGTTATTTGGCATTTGCAATATAAACAGCCTTTTTTTTAAATTTGTATTAATCTTAAGTTAAAGTCCCTAAAAAATCACTTATAAGCCGAGTAAATAGTTAAAGATGGAGTATCCAACTTACAAACCACAAAAAATTTAAGAATGTCGTAAAATCCATGTTCCTATAGTCCCTTGCTCTCCAAACCTCTATCACTGGTTTTCACATTTATGTATTTTTATGTATTTTTGGCCTTTTAGCAAGTAACCCCCAACAAGTACAAGTGGCCACAGCAAGGGTCTGATTCCTTCAGTGTGTGGGAGTGGAAGTACGTACAATGCTGCACTTTGCACCCTCTTTGGAGCCGACCTCCCCCAGATGTTGGGAGCGATGATCTTGAGTGGTTGGGGAGACGTTATTTCATGCGGCTCTTTAAACAATAGAGATTCCAAATCTGAGAAGGGAGTGTCCTCCTATATTTTTTTGCAGAAAAGAGATGATTTTAACAGAGCATCACAAACAATTGTCATAAGAGCAAATATCACTAATTGAATCCTTTAATTTCAACTATTTTATGTAAAATCAAGATTATTCAAATTAAATATGAATTATGAATTCGAGTTTCTCTGATAAACAAAAACAATACTTTGATGTAATATGCAAATGTAGTAACCAAATAAGGTAATTACAATTAATGTCCTCTAAAAACATGTACAATAGGTATGAATGTAATGGATTGTGTTGAGTGGGGGCTTTGATGCGCAAGTGTTTTTGGCATCTTGCTTCCGTTATCACCGTGTGTGAATGGAAAAATATCTGATTTCTGAACATTGTGCCCTTGGTCTATAAAACGTGCTAAAATAAACATTACTTAGTATCTTAATTTTGCTGGTTTTGTCATGGTTGTAATTTTATGTTCCTGAGCAGTGAATGAAGACAAGAGCCAAGGAATAAATATATTGGGCAGACTTCAAGAGGGGAAGTAAAACTTCTTGTAAAGACACAGAAGAACTAATAATACAGAATACAACAGGAGCGAAAAATTACAACCTTGACAAAGCCATCTAAACTTCACCCAATCAATGATCAAAATGAGAGACTCATTCTGATCATTGACTGGACAGTCACTAGAAAGCATTTACAGTGCCTTGCGAAAGTATTCGGCCCCCTTGAACCTTTCAACATTTTGCCACATTTCAGGCTTCAAACATAAAGATATAAAAATTTAATTTTTTGTCAAGAATCAACAACAAGTGGTACACAATCGTGAAGTGGAACGAAATTTATTGGATATTTTAAACTTTTTTAACAAATAAAAAACTGAAAAGTGGGGCGTGCAATATTATTCGGCCCCCTTGCGCTAATACTTTGTAGCGCCACCTTTTGCTGCAATTACAGCTGCAAGTCGCTTGGGGTATGTCTCTATCAGTTTTGCACATCGAGAGACTGGAATTCTTGCCCCTTCTTCCTTGCAAAACAGCTCGAGCTCAGTGAGGTTGGATGGAGAGCGTTTGTGAACAGCAGTCTTCAGCTCTTTCCACAGATTCTCAAATGGATTCAGGTCTGGACTTTGACTTGGCCATTCTAACACCTGGATACGTCTATTTGTGAACCATTCCATTGTAGATTTGGCTTTATGTTTTGGATCATTGTCCTGTTGGAGTCTGCAAAAGACCTGAGACTGGGACGGAGATTTATCTTCCGTCCCAGTCTCAGGTCTTTTGCAGACTCCAACAGGTTTTCTTCCAGAATGGTCCTGTATTTGGCTCCATCCATCTTCCCATCAATTTTTGCCATCTTCCCTGTCCCTGCTGAAGAAAAGCAGGCCCACCTCAGCTGTAGTTATCTGCAGTTCATCCAGAGTGATCATGGGCCTCTTGGCTGCATCTCTGATCAGTCTTCTCCTTGTTTAAGATGAAAGTTTGGAGGGACGGCCGGGTCTTGGTAGATTTGCAGTGGTCTGATACTCCTTCCATTTCAATATAATTGCTTGCACAGTGCTCCTTGAGATGTTTAAAGCTTGGGAAATCTTTTTGTATCCAAATCCGGCTTTAAACTTCTCCACAACAGTATCTCGGACCTGCCTGGTGTGTTCCTTTGTCTTCATGGTTCTCTCTGCGCTTTAAACAGAACCCTGAGACTATCAAAGAGCAGGTGCATTTATACGGAGACTTGATTACACACATGTGCATTCTATTTATCATCATCAGTCATTTAGGACAACATTGGATCATTCAAAGATCCTCACTGAACTTCTGGACTGAGTTTGCTGCACTGAAAGTAAAGGGGCCGAATAATATTGCACGCCCCACTTTTCAGTTTTTCATTTGTTAAAAAAGTTTAAATTATCCAATAAATTTTGTTCCACTTCACGATTGTGTCCCACTTGTTGTTGATTCATGACAAAAAATTAAATTTTTATATCTTTATGTTTGAAGCCTGAAATGTGGCGAAATGTTGAAAGGTTCAAGGGGGGCGAATACTCCTTACACTGTATCTTATGGACATTATTGTACTTTTATTTGAGGATATATAACAAAAATGTAACTTAAAATTATACTTGAATATTGAAGTATAATTTAAATTTAAAAAGTATTATGGTGTGTCCTAACATGTTTTCACATGGGTCTAAATCGGGGCAGTAGGCTCAATTTGCACGTTTTCACACTTTCAATGCGAGTAATGCTCCATCCATCCATCCATCCATTTTCTTCCGCTTTATCCGTTGCCGGGTCACGTGGGCAGCAGTCTAAGCAGAGATGCCCAGACTTCCCTATCCACACACACTTCCTCCAGCTCGTCCGGGGGGACCCCAAGGCGTTCCCAGGCCAGCTGAGAGACATAGTCCCTCCAGCGTGTCCTGGATCTTCTCCGGGGCCTCCTCCCGGTGGGACGTGCCCGGAACACCTCCCCTGGGAGACTTCCAGGAGGCATCCGGAACAGATGCCCGAGCCACCTCAACTGGTTCCTCTCGACGTGGAGAAGCAGCGGCTCTACTTCGAGCTCCTCTCGTGTGACTGAACTCCTCACCCTATCTCTAAGGGAACGCCCAGCCACTCTGCTGAGGAAGCTCATTTCGACCGCTTGTATCCGCGGTCTCGTTCTTTCGGCCACTACCCAAAGCTCATGACCATAGGTGAGGGAGGGAACGAAGATTAACCGGTAAATCGAAAGCTTCGCCTTTCGGCTCAGCTCCCTCTTCACCACGACGGTCCGATACAGCGACCGCATCACTGCGCACCGATCCGCCTGTCAATCTAACGCTCCATTCTTCCCTCACTCGTGAACAAGACCCCGAGATACATGAACTCCTCCACTTGAGGAAGGACCTCTCCACCCACCTGTAGAGGGCAAGGCACCTTTTTCCGGTCGAGCACCATGGCCTCAGATTTGGGGGTGCTGATTCTCATCCCAGCCACTTCACACTCGGCTGCAAACCGCCCCAGTGCATGTTGCAGGTCCTGGTTCGTTAGAGCCAACAGGACAACATCGTCCGCAAACCGCAGAGATGAAATACTGTGGTCCCCAAACCGGACCCCCTCCGACTCTTCTGTCCATAAACTCCATTCTGTCCATAAACACAGTGAACAGAACCGGCGACAAAGGGCATCCCTGGCGGAGGCCAACATGCACCGGGAACAGGTCTGACTTACTGCCGGCAATGCGAACACAGCTCTGGTTCCGGTCATACAGGGACCGGAAGGCCCTCAGCAGAGGACCCCGAGCCCCATACTGATGGATGTATCCGCCCCAACATCCTCAGCCTCTGCCTCTGTAACAGAGGACGTGACGGGGGGATTGAGGAGAACCTCAAAGTATTCCTTCCACCGCCCGACAATATCCCCAGTCGAGGTCAGCAGCTCTCTACCCGCACCGTACACGGTGTTGGCAAAGAACTGCTTCCCCCTCCTGAGGCGCCGAATGGTTTGCCAGAACCTCTTCGAGGCCGACCGATAGTCATGCTCCATGGACTCCCCCCATTCCCGGGTTTTTGCCTCTGCAACAGCCCGGGCCGCAGCACGCTTGGCCTGTCGGTACTGGACAGCTGCCTCAGGAGTCCCCCGAACCATCATGGCTCGATAGGACTCCTTCTTCAGCCTGACGGCATCCCTTACTGCCGGTGTCCACCACCGGGTTCGCGGGTTGCCGCTGGGACCAGCACCGGAGACCTTGCGACCACAGCTACGAGCCGCCGCATCGGCGATTGAGGCAGAGAACATGGTCCACTCGGACTCGATGGCCCCTGCCGGGACCTGGGAGAAGCTCTCCCGGAGGTGTGAGTTGAAAGTCCGTCTGACAGGGGGCTCAGCGAGACGTTCCCAGCAGACCCTCACTACATGCTTGGGTCTGCCAGGTCTGACCGGCTTCTTCCCCTGCCAGCGGATCCAACTCACGACCAGGTGGTGATCGGTTGACAGCTCCGCCCCTCTCTTTAAACGAGTGTCCGAGACACGCGGTCGAAGGTCAGATGATACGACAACAAAGTCAATCATCAACCTCCGGCCTAGGGTGTCCTGGTGCCACGTGCACTGGTGGACACCCTTGTGCTCGAACATGGTGTTCGTGATAGACAAACCGTGACTAGCACTGAAGTCCAACAACTGAGCACCGCTCGGGTTCAGATCAGGGGGGCCGTTCTTCCCGATCACCCCTCTCCAAATGTCACTGGCATTTCCCACATGGGCGTTGAAGTCCCCCAGGAGAATAACGGAGTCCCCGGTCGGTGCACCGTCCAGTACCCCTCCCAAGGACTCCAAGAAGGCCGGGTACTCTGCACTGCTGTTAGGCCCGTAGGCCGTCACAACGATGAGAGACTTGTCCCCCACCCAGAGGCAGAGGGACGCGACCCTCTCATTCACCGGGGAGAACTCCAACACGTGGCGGCTGAGATGGGAGGCAATGAGTATGGCCACCCCAGCTCGCCGCCTCTCCCCGCGGGAAACACCAGAAAGGTGGAGCGTCCAACCCCTCTCAAGGAGTTGGGTTCCAGAGCCCAAGCTGTGAGCTGTTATGCGAGTAATGCTGAGCCACCAAATGCCTCCTGAAAACCCATTGGAGAAAAGTCACATACGTGCATATGTGTTCCCAATGTATTTATTCAAAAACTCGAGTGAAAACTGGAGATGAACTAAAATTTAAGTTATGTATTGGGAAAATGGATTTAAGTGCAAAGCATCTATCAATTTCATGGTTTTAATGTAAAGGAGAAAATATATATATCATGGACAGACAACAAGCACTGGATATGGACAAAATGGGGATAACTCTTGGACGATGTATAGATCTCTGAACTGTATTGGGCACACAAGAACCAGGCCCATGGGAAAATTGCTTTATATCAACTTAAGAGATCATGTTTGTCTTGCTAATATGATCAAAACCACAACACAAGACTTTCTTATACCTGACAAAGTGTCTTCTTCCTTTCCTCCAGGTTCTTGATCCTTTGAAGACAGTCAATCTGCCTTCTAGTAGTGATTTCTTTGTCCAATTGAGTTCCTGTAAAATAAAGTTGTAATAACGTTGAAGAATGTAGACAATTAGAAGAACTTATGAACGTCATCCTTTAGAGAAGTTCAAAGCACTATTTCACTACACACATCTTTTTTTCTTGGAAATCCTCCTAAAAATATCTGTGGTGCTGTTTAAAATGTCCTTCAAGAAGTATTTCCTCGTTATACTGAAGATATCCACATGTACAACAGAAAAATCAAAGACATCAAGTTTTAAATATAGCACAATACATCTACCGTGATTGTCTTCCTGTTCAAGTGTCCTCAAAGTGCTCTTGGCCTGGTCCAGTTCTATCTGGACATTTTTCAGATGGCTCTGGAGCTTTAGGACCACACCCTCCTTCTCCTTGTTCATACAGCTGTAGAGCAGTTGCAGCTCCTTATGTTCCTCTGAAAGTGTGCCCAGATAAACAGAATCATTATTTCCACAAAGAGAAGCGCAAGTTAACCTACAGGCCAACACAACACAAGTAGAGCTGGGTGGACAGAGCAAATACACTGAACATTGATATTTGTTGTTTTAGTACAATGTAGAAATTAATCATAAGAGACAAAAATAAGTATTTCATTTAAACAAATAATACTCAATTAACTCACCAGTAAGGCTGAGTAATGCCATCTGTTGCTTTTCTAGCTTAACCTTCAGGTGCCGTTTTGCCAGAATCTCCTCCTGGACATAACGCTTGTGCTGAGCCTCAGAGGCCTGTAGTTCGAACTTATCTTGTTCAACAGCAGCCAATTTTCTCTTGTATCGGTCCAATTCAGCCTATTGAAAAGTAAATAATAGTAAAAATACTGATAGAATTTGTATTAAAAGTTACATAAAACATGAGAATATTATTTACAAATCAAGAATGTTGTACATGTAATTAAATTGTAATGAGTACATATCTTCCTACTCACCTTGAGGTGCAATATGTCCGTTTTGAGCTGGTTTAGCTGTGAGCTTAGCTCCTCATTCATTTTTACATGTTCTAGCAGTTTAATTTTCAGATCATGTATAACATTATACAGCTTTTGGCTCCGATTCTTAGCCTCAATCATTGAGTACTGTGACAAACAAAACATTACAGTAAATGACATTACTGCTCACAAATTATTTTTTCACCCTTTTGAGCAGTTTGTTGGACCCTTTTGAGGTCCAACAAATTGTCAAACATTATCCAATAATCAGATTTTGTTTTGCTTTTCTTCTTTTTAGGGAGCTTATATTACATAAACATAAAGATGTATAATAACCTTTTTATTTTCTGAAAGTTCTTGAGATGTCTTTTCTTCCCATGTTTTCTGTTCTACTGAAGCCTGAAGATGTAGTTCCTCCTTCTCAGTTGTATGAAGCTGCTTTAGTGCTACTTCAAGTCGTTCTTTTAGTATATTCACCTCCTTTTGGTGTCTAAACAGATCCTCACAACACACCTGAAGAGGGACAATTACAGCTGAGATGTATGATTTACTCCTTCTACAATCACCCTTAATGATAGACTTTCTTTCAACGTAGGTTTAAAGGCAATACTCTTAATGAATACCTTATATTCTTTAGGCTTGTGCGTCTGCTGTACCCACTTTGTCCTTTCTTCCTGAGCATTCCAAAGTTGGGTCTGAAGGCAAATAATGTGTTCCTCCAGAAAACTAAACTAAAATGAGAAAAAAAACACATGAGAAAAAGTCTCTGGCCTTACAATGCCAATATTGTCTTGCCTTCTTTTCATGGCTTGACTGAGCTTTGCTGAGTTCAGTGATCTGACCATTGTGTAGTTTTTGTTGATCCACAAGTTTTCTTGAGACAAAATGATGATTCTTTGTTTAGAAGAAATAAATGAGAGGTAAAACATATGCTTGGAACTTACTTCAATAGCTGAAGATCAGCCAGGAAACTCATGGTATTGCTAGAAGAGAAGCTGAGTTTGGAAGACAACACTGCCATCTCCTGGTCAACACTGTAACTCAGCATTATCCCAATATAAAAATCTACAAAATAGTTGGTTTATAAATATAAACCAAAAATACATTTTCTGTAATAATTACCATTCTTGGTTTCTCATGTCAATACACTCTTGATCAACAACATGTTTAGACTGAAAAGGAAGAAGAAAAATAAAAACAGTATAACCACAATCAACAATGTAGAGAAACTGCAATATGTACTTAGAAGTGTTCTAACCAATTTATTGATACTTTGTTGTTGGGACTCCTTATTCAATTCATTTGGAGCAGGTGGATGACGCAGCCTCCCAGTTTCATCATTGCTTTCCTTACTGTAGTAGCACTTGCAATGACCCCCCAGAGCAAAAAGGGGACATGCATGGTGCTGCTGTAACATCTTTTCCAGACGTTTAATTTTCTTGTTAAGTATAAAAACTTTCTCTTGAGTTTTTTCCAACCTCCGATCTCCACACATTTTTGCAACTTGAACTTCCTCAAGAAGATGCAACATGTTTTCCATTTCTCCAGCATGGTTCTGTGAGTCCTTTAATCTACAAATTGAACATCAAATATGTCAACTGCTGGTTGAAAGTACATATAATTCAATGTATATAAATTATTCACCTAAGTTTTGACACATTTTCATTCAATTGGGCTTTCTGGAGCTCCATAAATGTATCCACAAACTGATCTTGTCCAAATATCTTTTTTGTAGGTATTAGACAACAACATAGTTTAATTCAGGCATTATAATAATCAGGTTGAGGGCTTTGTCTATACTCTAGACCAGCACCCACCTCAGTCATTTCCAAGATTTCCAGCTCCTGAAAGCATTCATTTCATTTTCAAAGATACTCTGCAATCTGTCTCTGAGGCATGTCCATGCAAATTCACCTGCAAGCATAGTTATAACACTGTAGTACATAAAAGCAGAACCCATGTTTCATAAGATACAGTGGGGCAAAAAAGTATTTAGTCAGCCAAAGATTGTGCAAGTTCTCCAACTTAAAAAAATGACAGAGGTCTGTAATTTTCATCATAGGTACACTTCAACTGTGAGAGACCGAATGTGGAAAAAAATCCAGGAATTCACATTGTAGGATTTTTTAAGAATGTATTTGTAAATTATGGTGGAAAATAAGTATTTGGTCAATAACAAAAATTCAACTCAATACTTTGTATTATAACCTTTGTTGGCACTAACAGAGGTCAAACGATTACTATAGGTCTTTACCAGGTTTGCACACACAGTAGCTGATATTTTTGCCCATTCCTCCATGCAGATCTTCCTGAGAGTAGTGATGTTTTGGGGCTGTCGCCGAGCAACACGGACTTTCAACTCCCTCCACAGATTTTCATTGTATAATATATAACATAATACAGCATATATATATAATATATACACCATATATTATATATTACCTAATTATATGCTAAATTAAAGTAGAGTGCTTTAAGCCTGGCCTTGAATATGGAGACCGTATCTGCTTCCTTAACATAAATGGGAAGCTGATTCCACAGTAAAGGAGCTTGGAGCTAAATGCTCTGCCGCCAACAGTGATTTTTGAGACCTTAGGAACCACCAGACGTCTGGCGTTTTGTGAGCGCAACGCTCGACTTGGTTGATACGACACTAACGTGTCGTGGAGATAAGAAGGAGCCAAGCCATTTATGGCTTTATATGTTAAGAGAAGGATTTTAAACTTTATTCTGTACTCCACAGGGAGCCAGTGGAGTGATTTTAACACCGGAGTTATGTGCTCCCTCCTTTTGGTACCTGTTAAGATCCTAGCTGCTGTATTCTGAACGAGCTGGAAGCTCTTCAAAGACGCTTTAGGGCACGCTGCCAGTAAAGCGTTACAGTAGTCGAGCCTTGAGGTGACAAACGCGTGAATGAGTTTTTCCGCGTCACTTTTAGGAAGGAAATTCCTAATTTTAGCGATGTTCCGTAAGTGGAAGTACCCCGTTTTAGTTGCTTGGCTTATATAAGCCTTGAAGGAGAGTTCTTGGTCAAAAATGACTCCAAGAGTCCTCACAGTGTTACTGGGTATAATACTGACATTATCGAGAGTAATTATCTGGTTAGTGAGGGAGTCACGCAGGCGCTTCGGACCGAGTAGGATCACTTCTGTCTTCTCCGGGTTGAGAAGTAGGAAGTTAAGAGTCATCCACATTTTAAGGTCCTTTATGCAGGCACTGAGCTTTTCTAGCTGATCTGTCTGATTTGGCTTCATCGACAGATAAAGCTGTGTGTCATCTGCATATCAGTGGAAATTAATTCCATGCTTTTTAATAATGTTTCCTAACGGCAGCATGTAGAGAGTGAAAAGAATCGGTCCGAGTACCGAACCCTGCGGCACACCGAATTCTACTCCAGAATAAGGCGACGAGTTCTGATTTACGTTGACGAAGTGATACCGATCTGATAAATAGGATTTAAACCAGCCAAGGGCTGTTCCTCTAAGACCTATATCACATTCTAGCCTCTGCAGTAGAATGCTGTGGTCTATTGTGTCAAATGCAGCACTAAGGTCCAGTAGGACCAGCACTGACACTTGTCCATTATCAGCAGCTAGTAGTAAGTCATTTGTGACTTTGACTAGTGCCGTTTCAGTGCTATGATGAGCTCTGAATCCAGATTGCAAGACTTCAAACATATTATTTTCCTGCAGGTGGCAGCGAAGCTGCTCAGCTATAAGTTTTTCCAGGATTTTAGATATAAAAGTGAGGTTTGAGATCGGTCTGTAGTTTGTAAGTATTTCTGGGTCCAGGTTTGTTTTCTTCAGAAGGGGTTTGATTACTGCGGTTTTAAAAGCTTGTGGGACATAGCCACATTGTATGGATGCGTTTATTATATTTACGATAGGCTCAATCATCAAAGGAAGTATGTCTTTGAAGAGCCATGTTGGGACTGCGTCTAACATGCAAGTTGAGGCTTTTGAGGATGTGACCACAGAGATCACCTCTGCTTGGCTCACAGCCATGAATTTATCGAGGCCCACTGAAGAGTCTAAGTGGGAAGTCACGTATGCCGCTTCAGCTTGTCCACTACCAACAGCAGGAGTGACCTCCTCCAGTTTGTCACGGATGGATGTAATTTTATTATTAAAGAAGTGGAGAAAGTCGACACTGCTCAGTGAGCTTGGAATTTTAGGCTCGATTGCGCTATGGCAGTTTGTGAGTTTAGCGACGGTGCCAAACAAAAATCTACTGTTGTTTTTATTCGCTTCTATTAAAGTTGAATAGTATTGAGTTCGAGCCCTGCGAAGGGAATTCTTGTAGTTTGGAGACCTGCTTTCCACTCCCTGTGGACAGGCTCCGAGTGGGAGTGGCAATATAGCCTCTCCAATTTTCTGACGCCCTGTTTTAAAGTGTGGAGTTGAACACTGTACCAGGGCGACGATGATCTAATCCCAATAGTTTTCTGTTTTAAAGGAGCTGCTGCATTTAATGCAGATTTTAAAGACTCCATAGTGTTGTCCACCGTTTGGTCACTGACTGAGGGACTGCAGCAGCTGTGAACAGGTTCACCTGCAGCAGTATTCAACATAGGCTGTATTAGTTCTTTGAACCTTGTGATAGATTTATCATTTAAGGTTCTTTTCATTATGGTTTTATCTTGCGGGACAGGAAAGTCCTCCAAATCGAGATCAAACGTGATCAAGAAATGGTCAGAAAGCAACGAGCTTTGACGCTGGATGTCAACATTGGAGACATCACAGCCGTAGGTCAGGACAAGGTCCAAGGTGTGGTTATGAATGTGAGTAGGTTCCTCAACATTCTGAGTAAAACCAACACCATCTAGTACGGCGCTGAAAGCTTTGTTTAAGCTGTCAGTGTTGTCGTCCACATGTATATTGAAGTCTCCAGTTATAACTATGTTTTCCCATTCCAAAACTAGGTTTGAAATGAAGTCGGAGAATTCTGTTAGGAACTCGCTGTAAGGACCAGGAGGTCGGTATAAAACTATAAATAGCACCGCTTTTTGTTTTCTCCACCCAGGACAGGTGATTGAAAGTGTTAAGTTTTCAAACGAGTGAAAAGCATTGTTGATTTGGGACATTTGTGAATTATCCTGTTTTAAGCCCTATTTTAAATATGAACTTGTTTATATTGTACTGTATATAGTAATGTGTCAGTGTTGTGTTTGGTAATGAATAGACAATAACTATTATTACTATGTAAATTAAACCTGGAGTAAAAATACTTTTTAAAAAATTCATAATCTGAAATTAGATTATTTTAAGCATGACTTGAGTTATCTTATTTGTGTTTTGATTGTATCTGAGTACATATTACGGTCTTGCATAAGAAGTGTTGGTCTTCAAACAATTTTGAAGTGAGATTTTTTTATTGTTTTTCTTGTTCTTTAAAAGACAAAAACAACTCAAGCATGTCCTAACGTATATGTCATCATTTTGTGCAGTGTCATCTCATTTCTCTTTCCAGATGCATGGGAAGCGGATCCTAAAACTCCTACAAAAGATTTTTAGCTGGTTGCCGTTAGCAACAGTCATTGATCAGAAAGTACTAGTGATCCACGGCGGGATTTCTGACTGCACAGATCTGGGAATCATCGCCAGAGTGGACCGGCACAAAGTGAGTGGCACTTACACTGTAAACATTTAAAACTGCACTGTGGAACTTTTCTGATACAGAGATTTCCGCCATTTTGTGTTTTAAAATGTCTAAATACTATTGTCTAATTTCTAACACAGTTCTTACCTGACATCCACACAGCACAAAACAACCAGTTTATAATACTGGTTATCCGTACAATATGGGCTGCACTCATATTTATCAATCCACAGCCCGAATGATTATCTTTTATTCTTAAAAGGAAAGCATAATTTAGGCAGTCAAGAGCTAACATAATGGCTATGTAATAGAGATGGATCCTTGGGCTATGCTTCTTGACCCTGAGTGGCATTAGTATAGTGTATGGGTTATGGTATAAAACAACATAAATCTATAGGATGGCATTAAAGCTATAGCAGTACATTTTTTGCAGCTGTTTGCAATGCCAAAAAGTGCATTGAATGCTTAATAATGAGCATAAATCAAAATTAATTGTCCTGTCTTTAGTATGTTTCAGCTTTGCGGCCTCCAAAGAGAAGACACACAAGCTCAGCCGGAGTGTCCGTGGACTCCGACCTGGATGAAGAGTGGTCCAACACTAAGTTCCTGCAGCGGCGAGCCTCCATGACGTACCCCAAACCGCTGGGCATGCGTTCAAGCTTCCAGAACCGGTCGCTGCAGGACTTTTCCGACCGCATCCGGGTGAGAGTGGAGGACGAGCTGGAGATGTGCCGGAAGAGGACGTCCATGTTCCACCCGCAGAAAGAAGACCAGCAGAATGAGGCTTTCCAGTCACTGTCAATAGAGTCTGTGAGCAGTGACAACGCCAAAGAGGAGTGGAAGCAGGTGACAGAACTATTGTGACTGTCTTTAGGATTACTCTGCACCGTCATAGTCTCCCTAAACATTCTTTATTTGCTTAATTCATTACTATTATTGTTATTTTATGAAGTTCTATTCCCTAGGCTGCGTTCACACTTGTTGGTCTGGGTCACTTTAACTAGACATGATGTAAAGTGAACCAGACCAACAATATGCGAACGCCACCTTGATGTCATTATAACCCTCCTCACAAAAAGAAAAGTAATTGATATATATTAAAAAGATAATACTGAAACTACTCAATGCCACTGGACCATGTTTTCAAGACCTTTAACTTGTATCATATATAAAATAAATACATACAGGCAAGATCGTTAAAAAGTTGTAGTAACAAATGTTTTTGTCTCTATAACGACAACAGTTGTTCCATTCATTGCTATGAATATATTGCATGTATGAAACACATCGGCTGTTGTCTGCAGATTCTAGACCTGTTGTGGAGTGATCCCATGGTTCAGGACGGCTGTGTGCCCAACGAGGTGAGGGGCGGCGGCTGCTACTGGGGTCCTGATGTTACTGAGGACTTCCTGAACAGACACAACCTGCAGCTGCTGATCCGCTCCCATGAGTGCAAACAAGAGGGCTATGAGTTCTGCCACAACCGCAAGGTGACAGGGATTTAGGACTCTTGGATAGGGGCCTACAGAGGGTTCAAATAAAATTGTCAAAAAGGGGGAGAAATTCAAATGTTCCAAATGTCGGTTTGTATTCTGTAATCTAATGTAGTGTAATCTGTAATCTTGTTTTGTTTCAGGTCTTGACTTTGTTTTCTGCCTCTAACTACTACACTGCTGGAAGCAATAGAGGTGCCTATGTTAAGCTGGGGCCAGATCTTGTGCCTTATATGGTTCAATACCAGGCCACCAACATGACCAGAGAGCTCACATTGAGACAGAGGTGTGTAGCTGTCATCGCTGTTACACTAAAACCAACCAATTTGTTTTACTTTTACATATTTAACTATCATCTGGACAATCTATATTGGCCAACAGTCTTCCCTGTGTCAAATGTTGTGTTACAGCAGTGGGTGTACAGAACGCTCGGCTCTAAAAGTCCTGCGGGAACAACTCTTTGCACACAAGTCTGACCTGATGAGAGCCTTCCGAGCTTATGACAAGGGAAACACAGGTGTGAAATATTTCAGTAAACGAGGCGTAACACAACAGTATTACTCCCAGATTTACCTTTTTTCATCCTTCAGTCTCACCAGAAATGTGAGCTCCTATTTCTTTGTGTTTTCGACAATCGCCGCTTTATAATCCTGTAACTTTATACTCCTGCCATTTTATACTCCTGCCATTTTATAACCTTGTCACTCAGGACACGTAATTGTAATTTGAATAGACAATAACTATTATGTAATTTTGTAACTCTTGACGCTTTAAAACTTGATAACCGGTACAGTCTATGTGTATATTTCAGTGTGCCTTGTTATTGGCAATATTAGATAAAAAAAAAGAGAAAAAGAGATAAATATTCTATTATTGCTTCTTTTCTCTTGATTAGGTCTCGTAAACCTGGGAGACTGGGCCGACGCACTGGAGAGTGTGATGTGCCTGGGTCTGCCCTGGAGGATGCTGCGCTCTCAGCTGGTCACGTGCAGATCCAGCGAAGGCATGATCAACTACTACGTGTGGTTCAGCGAACTGGCCATCAGAAAACCTCAAACTGATGTAAGATTATTCGTTCTGTGTTCTGTCTTTGTCTGCAATGACTAAGAAGAATGAAAAGTGACATTAGGTGTTTATCTCCTACAGCACATTGACGAAGGGCTGATAGAGACACTGTATCGCCATCGCTCCACAGTAGAGACCATCTTCAGAATTGTAGACACGGACAATTCAGGTAACGATCACGTTTTCAAGTCGTTATGAAATGGAGCACCCACTGGGAAGTGTAAATAAGAGGATATAGCAAAATGAAAGCAACAGTAACTAATAATAGTTGGAACATTAACATTATAAACTCACTAATGTCGTATTATCTATTATGATATTTAGGGAAGGGATTGAGCTGGTCTCTGTGTATTTCTTTATTGTGTTAAAGTTGAAAAGGCTCTTGAGCACTGCCACAAACATTTTGATTTGTTTGAGCAAATATATACAATTATACAGCTATTGTATTGTATACTCAAAGTTACACAAAATGATTATACAAACCAGGGGGATAGAACCCAACAGAAATGCAGTCTTTATTTTAGCAATAACACCAAATGTGAGATAAATCTAATGACATTGTTTGACACATTTGCTGCAGCTTTTCACTTGTCTGTTTTGTAAATAATAACGCTGTTACCACAAATAGAGTCTGGTAAAATCTAAATTTGGTTGACAATTCATAGACCATGATGTGTTTCTTAATTTACTAGAAAAGGTTTTGGTCCTTTGCAAACCAGAGAAAGAGTCATTCGAGTCACTGTCAAACACTTTTGGCTGAGAGCTGATTGGCTGAGGAAGAGATGTTATCTTATCTATAACTTTTCTGTGTAAAAAGCTGAACGGATGGCCTAAACATGCATGCGAAAACAAACCATGTTGAACTGTATAAGTTTGGAACTAGTCACATCATTATCGCACATGTTTTAGTTTGAAACGATAAGCTCATGTACAGTTAAATTAAACACATTCTGTGTGTGCTTTATATTTTTCATGTGTTTTAACTGTTGATTCTCTGATCTGTGTTGGTGATTTCAATGGTTTTGTTAAGTCCTCTGAGATGACTTCTGTTGTGACCTAGGGCTATACAAGAATAAATTGTATTGTATTGTATTGTAATTACAGTAGATTGCGCACACAGTAGAGTGGCTTTACATGTGAGTCTGTGTCCATCTGCTGCTGCTGTGACGTGGCACAAGTTGCAGAGGTGATTGTGAAGCTACCTGTTTGAATGGACTCACAGCCTCCTGATCCCTCTAGTTAAGAAGAGGATTAACCCAGTGATCTACTGCTCTCTCCTCCCTCAGCATTGACCAGACATCAACCCTCACTTCTCCTCTCTCTGCCCAGGCTTCATCACTATGGAGGACTTCAGGCAAACATGGAAGCTTCTGAGCATCTACCTAAAGATGGAGATCGCTGATGACGCCATCTCGGACCTGGCCGTGTCTATAGACAGTAACCAGGACGGCTGCATAGACATAGTGGAGTTCATGGAAGCTTTTCGGCTCACGGACAAGAAAAGCCGTTTGGAACGCGGCCGTAGTATGTTTATGGGCACGGCCACAGATCTGACCAAACTGGAAAAAGATAACAACATCTGAGTGGAGATGAGGCCAACACAAGCTTCTTTATGACGCACGTGAGTCTGCTGCCCACATGACGTCAACATGGATCATGTGGGATTTACACTTTCAGGCTCGAAAAGAGCACTGAAGAGCGGATCTTTTAGACAAGTAAAAGCAGGATAATATATTTAAAGCTGGGGTACCCAAGTGTTTAAGAAATAGTATTGTAAAAGTCATAAATTAGACCACAACATGCTGTCATTATCTTATTAGTGAACATGACATGTACTGGTGAATCAGGGACTAGTTACATGTGATTTTTTATAAACCTGCAAAGTTATTTTTTATCTTTTGAATGTTAGGTACCCCAGATTTAAAGGGGGTATAAAAGATGGAAATATGTGTATATTTTTAGGTTACAAAAATGTATTCCAAATGAGAATATCTACGGCAGTATCCATTTTGTGTGCCTTTAGAATCAACACAGTACTGCTGCATATTATTAACCTACATTTTTGCATGGAAAAAAGCCAAGATTATCAGTGACATAATATATAATAAAGCAATCATTTTAATCCAGTTATATAATGCACATAAGATTATATACTGATAAGCTTACATTCAATTCATAAAATATTACAATAAGTAAAAACGTGGTATTCTTTGTATTTTCATGAGCTACAACATGATTTGATTTTATTGATGGCAAAAACTATAAACTTTCAGTCGACTGCAGGGGGCAGAATTCCTCACTTTTCAGTTCAAGACTCGACAACTGTTGGGGTATGGTAGATCCATGGAGCACTTATTTATACAGAGCATGGACACACACACACATTTCAAATACAGCCTTTCATCTCAATCAAGATATTTGATATTTGTTCAAGTAGATTGGGGTAATTAAAGCTGGGGTACCATACTTTCCTCCTATTATTATTAATTTATTTTGGCCCCTACAGAAAGACTCTTTACTTGTTAAAGTAAAATTTGTAGAACATATCAGACCACAAAATGTTCTTTATCTTAATATAAAACATTCTATATTTTGCTTATGTGCCCTTTTAGTCACAATCTGACGCTTTGGACTGAGAGTGGATTGGCTGAGTGAACGTGGTCCTCTCCATTTCACTTTTCTGTCTAAAAGCTGATCAGAGTGAGGAGGCCAAAATACATGCATAAACCTTTTTGTCGTAGTTTTTGTGCTTTAAAGTTAGGTACCCTATCTTTAAGTTGCACAAGGATTGATACAGTAAAATAATGACTGAAAGCGGGTTCTGGCCATTGTACTCAAATAAAATGAAAATGTCCATACATTCAATGGAGTCTGAATGTGATTTATACGTGATATTGAAGCATAGTGGAGTGTTTTTACAATGACTAGCTTTTATTTGTTGACTTTACTTTGTTAAGACAAATTGAGTGACGCTTACAGTATTTGAGTTGCCTGCACCATTAAGTCTGGGTTAACAATGGGAGCAGCCTGTGTATGGAAGAGGTCACCATGCTGCAACCTGCCCTGTGCTCCCCCAGCCCTAAATCTCACACTGGTCACAAATAGGACAATGGACAAGGCAGTTAGACCTACTTTTGAGGACATAAGAAAAGGGGGCTATTGTTCACTGACAGTAGGTGGTCTTACAGTTTCAGCACACTGGAAGTCTTTCTTAATGTAGACATTGTGGGATTTAGCCATACTTGGTCTAGTTCAGTTCCCAGCTTTCAGAATTGTTGATTGTCCTGACTTTGTGGCAAGACACAAGAGATAAACAGCAAATCAAAAACAAGGATAGCGGATAATGAAAGCAAATGACATAAACCGAGGTCCATCTAGTGACGTCTATAGACCCTGAAATGATAATCTCAAGGGCAGGAACACCAACCAGTTCATGGAATGTTCAGTCAGAACCAGCCTCGGGCCCGTACCAAGCACTGCTGACATAAGTGCTGCTTAATTATGTTGGTGTTTTGAGAAATGTTAAACAATGTGCTGAATGTTTTATGTAGAATCTACTTCTTTAGTAATCGTCATACTTGCCTTATAGCAAGGTTCTTGTGTGAGCTAAATGCATCACATACCTATTCTTAACCTTTTGGGTTTCATATTCCTGTTCACATATGGACTTCAACATTCCTAGTCACTGTGGGAAGGATTAGGGTTAGGGTTTTCATTACCCATGGACTTGATATTGCCCTCATATCCCTAACCATCATACCCTAATTAGACCTTTCAAAAAACTTGTTAATAGAAAAAAAAAAGATCAAATTGTATGAAATAAACTACATTAGGGATAAGATGTGCTTTATTTATCTCATAAAAGGAGAAATTTACATGTCACATTGGCATGGATAGACACTGATTGTGCAAAAGAAATAAATGTGCAAACATGTTATATGCAGGATAAGTATGTATAACAAGTGTCAAGTGGAAACAGTGTAAAGTTGCAGTGTGAGAAGTTACAAAATAGTTTAGCCTATAGTGTTGGGAACAAAACCCACAATTACCACTATTGCCTCCATATTATACTAAAGGAAACAGAATTGACATTGAGACAAGAAACAATTTATGTGTTTTATTTTTTGCAAATACATACTAGAAATGTTACAAAAGCACTGTAGAAACATCTGTGCAGTGTAAATTATCAAAACTAAAAATGAATATTACTTCAAGATCATTTTGCACCTAACAGGACAAGGGGATTGTCATTTTCAGCAGCAAAACAAATTAGTACAGTAGATCAAGAGGAAATGTGTGTTAGTCATTTCAGGTGTGGTCCTCCCAGAGATCAAAGGACTCTGAACAGAAGGTTTGGCACTGCTGCTCATCCCTGAAGGAGGGCGTCATACATCTCGACTCTACTGTGGCTACACTTTCTCTTCATCAAGATATTCAGCCTTCCCAAAGTCCAGTTCACAGACAAACATTTCATTACACGCCCAACTCACAAACACACACACAAAATTGTTTCCAGTGCGTCACCGGGCCAACACTCTTTGAAATGAATAACCTAAATGTGCTTTACATCAAAGTATAGCAAAAAATACCTACGTTTACATCAAAAGGAAATGTTCAAGGAAAAAAAAAAAGGAAATGATGTGGCCCATATATTTCATTTACATTATTTTGTATTGCTTGGTTGTACATAACACTGAGATTTCACGTGCTGACGTAAGAGCACCATTTTCTGTTTTGTACAAAGTACTTAAAACCAGACTTTATAAATGGCAAATGCGCACTTCAATGATGCCAATACTTGTGGTGGCACAAATCATGAAAATTATATGTGGCACTGAGTGACTGCCGGAGCGTAAACATGGGAACTCTATGGAAGGGTAGATCTTTGGTCAAGCCAGGAGAATTCGGAGTTTCACACCCTGGACCCAGCGGTCAAGGGGGTTTAAGACATGTTTCAGTCATAGAGGCTTAAGGTTTAAGGTTTAAGGTACAAGTCGAGGTGAACAATAGGATCACAATAGCAATTTAACAAAATCATTACTCCCATTACGTTCCTGACAAATACAAATCCGAGATGTTCCCAAGTTAAGCCATATATATATGATACGTCTCATTTCAAAGTGCTTGCAATAAAGGCAAACCATAGAAATACAAAGAAATGTCATGTTCTTGCGGCATTAGAAGAAACAGATGTAACAGTAAATGGCATTTTGTTGTGTACTCAATTGAAACATTTTGGTCCAACCCAAAACTATACATATGTTATTTCACTACTATGCACAATTAAGTCCACCAGATATGGCAAATGTAGCAGCAATAATACATAAAAGGATAGAAAATAACACTAGATGAGCTCGAAAGTAACAGGCTCATTAATATCTTGTTAAAAGTTTCTTTCGAAACCAATAATGAATTTATATAATAGTGAATTGTATTATAACTGGACCACGTACATTGAAATGGACACAAAATAAAATTACAAAGAAAAAACGTCAAAAGGGCACAATTCCTGGGTACGGTATGCCCTTACTTCACCGCTCACTGGAAATTAGTGAGAAAAAAAAAAGGACAGTTGTGGTGTATGAAAACATAAAACATAAGACAGAGAATCAAGTGTACTGCATTCGCCTGGACATCCACCAATCCACTGCAAAGCAAATGACAGCTGGGAATGCGATATGGAAAGGGCTGAACAGAGCCAAAAATTGAGAGTTTTGGCTCACAACAGCATTTTTGAAATTCACAGGTAGAACCAAAACCTTGCGGCCTTAAACAAGGGCTGGGTTTAGCAATTGTGCTTTTAGTAACAGTGTAGACGTGCAGGAGTGGCGGACACTGGAGTAGAGTCTATTAGCACGTCAAACAAAACTGCTCACTGAATCAGGTCAGAGGTATCTCAACAATTCCCCTTTATACACAGTATGTACAAGATATTTCCAGCTTATTCTGACAATGTATTGACGACATACTGAACCATTATAAGGCAGAAAGTTGGTTAAAGTCTCCCTTGTAAGTAATGTTGGATGCAGCTAGTAAGTCATCAAATAAACCAAGACAAGAAATTATGCGCGGGTCTAATCCCAATATGTAGTGTTTTGGTAAGAGGCGCTGCTGAAGAAAAGTTAAAAATTGCAAATTTCCAGGTGTTAATGCATCAGGAAAATATAAACCCTTGTCCATAACAAACAGGACACTGAAGGTGCGCACCATTTTCATGAAATGATCAGAAACATCAAGTGCAGTGTGGGTGTGCACAGTCATCTTAGCACAAAAGGCAAAAATCTTTAAGAGTTTGGCTCAGTCTACGTTCAAATTTTCTTAATAAGGTTGTGGTATTTCAGGTTGAACAAAAACAATTTATCCCCTTAATAATGCCAGGCCAGAGTCTTCTTTAAAGGGAAATAGCAAGGTTGTATCACAAGATCCCTTGAACAGAATACTGTATAGAAGCAAATACTACACTCTGGGCCACTGTTGCTCTTCTTAAAGACCGTGCTTCTGAGTGCAAAGGCATCTATGCTACTGTGTTCCCCCGAAGAGAGTGAATAAAGGCTGGTCCTGGTGGAGCTCAGAGTCTTTTTGTGTCAAGGCCGACCAGGACTGAAACCAGGAAAGGTGTGTTGCAGTGCAGCAGGCAGTTCAGCCATGCTCAGCAGGTAGAGGACAGTCATAAGAAGGCTCCATGAGGAGAGCAAAGTCTTTGTTGGATAAACATTAACTGGGCTTGCCCCCTCCTAGAACAAAACAAAATGGATCCCGGTGAGTGACTCCCACAGTGGTAGTTCAGCCCCCTGCACTGCTCCTCAGCCCTCTTCCTGAGCTCTAGAGGCAGCTCTTCCATCAGCACTTCTGCGCCTCAACTGGGGACATGGCAATGTAGGAGCCGTTCCTCGCAGGCTGCACGGCCGGCGTTGGACTCTGCTCGTCAGGTTTGTCACTGACCTGAGTGTAAGCAGTCTCATCTTTCGCAGTCTGTGCAGGGAAGGTTAAAAAAAATAGGTTGTTACAAAAGCAATACGTGAAGTGACTGAAGCACAAGTGAATGTATGTTCATGAACACAAGACTCAAACACTACGATGTGTGCATCATGGAGAATTTTGACTGAAATGTTTCATGTGACCAAATAAATATACTCTGAAGCATCACAAAACACCAAATTAAATTCAAAACATGGCAGGTGGAGAATTAAATCCCATTTAGAAAAAAACAAAAAACAATTAAGACATAGGAACAGCAAACAAGGCAAAAATAAAGACTTACAGCAAAAGAATGAAAAGCTTCAGTAAAATCAATACGTTTTACGTCGTTCTAGAACAGAAAGAAAACCGGGGGTTAAAGAAAATTAAGACCATGGTTAATAAAACATTTCACCATTTCACATTGCAATTAAGCATGTATCACTGCCCCACAAATCCACTACCAGTCAATATTTGACCGCATGGCCTAGATACAGTAATATTACGTACTGTTTAAACACGCCGAATTAGCACAGACAGCCCTGAATGAATACTTCTATTTGAGTTTGTAACTTTAGACCTCAGCCAACAAGGTGAATTATGTAGTAATGTTTAAACAGGACTTGGACAGTGACTGACCCTCTCTAAGGACACTGAGGTTTTCAGTAAAGTTTAGATAAACAGTCAAAGATAAGAAAACGATAAGGGGGAACATGAGCTGTACATTCTAGCAAGTACCACTTCAGTTCAATGACTTTTGATAGCCTTTCCCAGACCAAATGATTTTCACACAAGACAATTCCACACAGCACAAAAATACAGCTTAGCATGCAGGCTTTTGGTGTTAGTGCAATATTGGCATGCACAAAGCTTTGAGGTTAAAAGTTATAGATATCATCCATGCAAAGACAAACTCAAAACTCAGAACACCTCTATTCTTGCATCTTACTGTTAACATTATATACACAACGCTTGTGTTACATGTGAAGTTGGTTGGTATGAGTTGCAATTTTAATATCTGGATTATTTCTACAACTAGGATAAAGCGAACTAGGACGAGCACAATTCCTACCTTCTTTTGGCGGTTTCGACAGAACAAGATGACCAGGACGAGCAAGAGAATAATGCCCATGCCCACAATGAGCAAAGGGAAGTTCGAGACAAGTGTTACAATAAGGAGCAATGTCCTCATCTGGTTGGCTGAGTCATCATCAATAGTTGCAGTCTAGCAGGGAAAGAAAAGTCTGCATTGAGTTTCAGTTCTTCATTTAAGTGTTAAGTGAAGTTGTTGCAATGGAATTTACCTCATTGACAAACATGATTGGGAATATAGTCTCGTTGAGATGTTTAGTTTTGCTGAAATAGAGAAAAACGGAGGTCAGTGAGGATAATCAGGACTGTGGCAAAAGCCGCACTGTGTCAAAGTACAACGAAGCCAAACTTACGGGAATCCTGGGACTCTCTTCAAAATTATATTGAGTTGCGCTCTCTTACAGGCACGAATTGGAACTCCAGTGGTCTAAAAATGAGCAAATCTGATGTTTATTACTGTAAACTTCTATATGCAATAGATCCCATAGAAAAGGGACATACAGGCTGAAGGTCGAGGTAGGTCTCATGATCCTCCTTGTTTGGGCTGAGTCCTTCAATAGCATTTATGTAAACTGGGTCCGCTTGATAAAAGTGAGGAAATGACACCACGATGGGAGCGCCTACAGACAAAAATGTAGTAATTAATAGTTTGAAAACATTGTAAATGGCTAGATAAGAATGCAATCTTAAACTGTATGCCTGCTCAATTAAACTTAAGGCTGGGCTACATACCATTCAAACCAGAACCAGAAATAACTCTTTAATAACCAATTATTTGTCCAACTAGTTCCAACACCACATGCATGTCTTTTGGTAGCGTTTTCAGTCAGAAAGTTAAGAGAGGACCACCCTCAAAGTGTCAAAAAGTGACACACAGGGCTTTTCCTGTGAGTCAGGAGAGAGATCAAATGTTTTAAGATTAAGAACACTTTGTGGTCTGAATGTTCACAAAAAGTTACTTTTTCAAGGCTCCTTCTGTTGGGACAGACTTTTGTCGATTGGAACATTTTAAAGTAACAATTGTAAGCAAACAGCCTATGGTTACAGTAGCACACCAATGATACAATGCTCATAGAGAAGCTTATCAAAGCAATCAGCAGCGATTGAATGGCCACTAATGTCCTATAAAAGCCACCGCAGAGTTAATCATTGAACGCTGTATTGAGCAGAATCAGCCTTAACAGTCGGAATGCAATAGAGCAAGCAGTCCAACTGAATGAAAGAACATTTTCGGGGGGACAGAGAAGGGGCAATTGTGTCATGTGGCGGACCACTCATCAAAGGGGGCTTGTAAGTGGGTCATGTTTGACGGAGGGGTTAGCGCGTGTGTGTTAAGAGGAGGAATAGGCATGGTCCCGTTACCTTGTCGACAAACGCTGACTTTAAGCAGTCCGGTGCCGAGACAGTCTCCAGCTGGCACACAGAAGCCCTCATTAGTCGGATTGTCTTTGGGGCTCATGAGAACGTCACTTGGAGGGGCGAAGCGGTACGCTTGGATGCCCTTCACCTCCACGTCCTTCACATAGCCTAAATGAATAGACCTGCAAAAAAAGGTGAAGATTTGTGTTAAAAGATTTTCCAATTCAATTTGATCAATTTAGTAGAATATGATTGTGACTTAAGCTGGGGTAACCAACTTTTTGCATTGTTTTCATGATCCATTTGGTTTGCCACAATACAAATTTGGGAGAAAAAAAAAAAAAAATAAAAATAAAAATAAAAAATCAGACCAACATACAATCTTTTACACACTGGTAGAAAATAAAAGTCCTTCCAGTCACGATTTGACTCTAAAAAAGGAAGGATGAGTGAGCTTTTTCACTTTTCAGTTCATTTTTTGTGGTTTGAAAGTTAGGTAACCTTTCTTTAAGAGGTAAAACAATGACTCTAAATGCTTTTAGTTGTGCATCTTGTCACATACTTGAGGAATGTTATGAGAATGAACATTCATGAGGACATATTGAGTTCCTTCTAAACTCATGAAATAAACCTACTATTTTGCCATTAAAAACCAAATAACTCCAACCCTTCCCAAGATGACTCACTCGCTGGGATGCGACTGATTAGAGAAAATAGGTTTATTATCCTTATCAATTGCATGTTTCCTTCAAGATAACGCTCTTTGGCCAGCCACAATCACTTGTAAACAAATCCAGCAAAGCACACGTGAATACCTGCAGAGATCAGCAGCAAAGATGTAGAGCAGCTCGTTTCTGTTTATCAAAGGGTGGAACACTGCCCCGTCAGTACCATTGATCATGTTGCTCTGGTTTGAAGACCACCATGTCATCTCCCTTTAAAAAGGACAGGATAAGCAAATTAGTCTTGTGCCTTGTGTCAAATCTAGTACGAGTGTGCAAAAGTGCAAAGTCATTTGACATATGCAAACATTCAAACTCTCCCCATGACGCCACAGAGCTGAGTATCCAACTTCCATTTGTTGTAACACTTGCAGAAAATGAGTGTTTTACAATCTTTACAAATGTCACTTTACCTCATGCCCTCCCATGAGTCAATCTTTCCGTAATCCAGGTAGTTTTGTTCACCGGTATGAAATACAAACTCTCCTTCGTGTGTGCCGTTTTTCTGAATGACAGAGAACGACCAAATGTAACTTGACAGCGATTTGTATTAACCATCAGATTATTTCAAAACTGCAAATTAGCAAAATATATCATGAGACATCAACACCCAAGCAAAAACAGTGTCATGCTCATTTTGCGCCTCATGACTAACTTCCTCAGTTTAAAACCTGACTACAGCGGTCTGAAAAAGGTCTTGAAGCATATTGCTCTACAGTGAACCAGTTATAACGTAACAGGATAATTGGCTTACCTTCCACATCAGGCCAAAATACTCATCCACATCAGGCTTCATGGAGTGGACTTTAGTGAGGATGGGGTCCTTGAACCCCCAGAGAACCTCATGCACAGTGCGGGTCATGAACAGCTCCACGCCCAGGCTGTTCATGTACATAGACACCAGCGTTCGGAGAAAAAAGGAGTAGGAGTTTAGCTGATCCATTACAACCTATGGGTCAGAAATACTTGGTCATCAACAGGTTTACTTTGAGCCATCATTCCATTGGCACCTAATCCTTAAAATTGTAAACAATTTTGTCAGAAATATGGTACCTACCACAAATGGGATGTTGACAGTTCTGAGAATGTCCACAGTGGGGTCACCAGCAGACTTCTCAGGCACAAAGACAAAGGTTTTGGGATTGACAGCATAAAGCTTGGTACCGTTCTCCAAGAAAGTGACATTTTCTCTTGGTCTGTATTCCCTTTTTAAACAAAAAAGTGTTGATGTTATAATGAAAATATATGCATTTCTGAGTACAAATCAAGTATAATGTAGGCATACCTGTAAGTATATGGTCCTATTTGTTTAACAGCAGCCTTTCCACCAGCTAAAAACACCTCTGGGTTGGTCACATTGAAGAAATAATATTCCATGTAAACAGGAGGAGGGGGGTTCTTCCAAGATTCAAACACTCTGCTTTTCTCCGTCAAAGTCAATTCCTACAAAGACAAAATCACATGTTTATCAAATTATCTTTTAATAAAAATGACATGAAGCATTGTTACAACAACATGAAAATCATCATACTTTAATATGGTAGTCTTATAGGGGCATTTGTATTATGACCAGGTCTGGGGAGAGCAGTAAGATTAAATAGAGTTAAGAATTCATATGCCCGGTGGGCCGGATTGCGACAAAGTAGACAGCCACATGTGTAAACAGGAGCCACCCTTCACTCACTTAACAGTGAAAGCATATGTGAATGCTTTACTTGCATTCACAGACCTTGATTGTTATCAGACAGGAAAGGATGCTGTTCTGAAGGTATTTTAGGATCTGGAAAAGAAAAATACCCCACTTCCTTCACGTCTTTTATGGTTTGTTCCTGAAAACCCTCTGTTCCATAACCATAAGTGGTTCTTATTGATTGACTGCGGAACCTTCCGCAGTCAACCATTGGTTTTGTATTTCTTTATTCCGTCATTTTTTTTGACACGTTTCACAGCTTTCACATTTTCAACAATTTCCACAAGTTATACATCAAAACGTTCCACATGTTTGGGAGATTATTGCTATTACTTTTGGGACTTCAGCGATTTCCGGTTTTTCCGCAATCGGACAAAAATCTGCATTGAGAATTCTGCAATGCATTTTAATAGGCCCATGCATTTTAATAGGACTTCAGCTCTTTCAGACATTTCTACAGTTTCAATGATTCAACAGTTTCAAGGATTCAACAGTTTCAAGGATTTCAGCAGTTTCAAGATTTCAAGAGTTTCAAGGACTTCAACAGTTTCAAGGACTTCAGCAGTTTCAAGGACTTCAGCAGTTTCAAGGACTTCAGTGTAATCATGCAACCTAATAGGGATTTTTCCATGTAAACCAGTATAATGCAACTTAATAGGGATTTTTCCATGTAAACCAGTATAATGCAACTTAATAGGGTTTTTTCATGTAAACCAGTATAATGCAACTTAATAGGGTTTTTTTTCATGTAAACCAGTATAATGCAACTTAATGGGGATTTTTCCATGTAAACCAGTATAATGCAACTTAATAGGGGTTTTTACATGTAAACCAGTATAATGCAACTTAATAGGGTTTTTTCCATGTAAACCAGTATAATGCAACTTAATAGGGTTTTTTCCATGTAAACCAGTACAATGCAACTTAATAGGGATTTTTCCATGTAAACCAGTATAATGCAACTTAATGGGGATTTTTCCATGTAAACCAGTATAATGCAACTTAATGGGGATTTTTCCATGTAAACCAGTACAATGCAACTTAATAGGGATTTTTCCATGTAAACCAGTATAATGCAACTTAATAGGGATTTTTCCATGTAAACCAGTATAATGCAACTTAATGGGGATTTTTCCATGTAAACCAGTATTATGCAACTTAATAGGGATTTTTCCATGTAAACCAGTATAATGCAACTTAATAGGGTTTTTTTCATGTAAACCAGTATAATGCAACTTAATAGGGTTTTTACATGTAAACCAGTATAATGGAACTTAATAGGGGTTTTTACATGTAAACCAGTATAATGGAACTTAATAGGGGTTTTTACATGTAAACCAGTATAATGCAACTTAATAAGGATTTTTACATGTAAACCACTATAATGTAACCTAATAGGGGTTTTTACATGTAAACCAGTATAAAGCAACTTAATAGGGATTTGTACATGTAAACCAGTATAATGCAACCTAATAGGGATTTTTCCATGTAAACCAGTATAATGCAACTTAATAGGGATTTTTCCATGTAAACCAGTATAATGCAACTTAATAGGGATTTTTCCATGTAAACCAGTATAATGCAACTTAATAGGGATTTTTCCATGTAAACCAGTATAATGCAACTTAATAGGGATTTTTCCATGTAAACCAGTATAATGCAACTTAATAGGGGTTTTTACATGTAAACCAGTATAATGCAACTTAATAGGGTTTTTTTCATGTAAACCAGTATAATGCAACTTAATAGGGATTTTTCCATGTAAACCAGTACAATGCAACTTAATAGGGATTTTTCCATGTAAACCAGTATAATGCAACTTAATAGGGATTTTTACATGTAAACCAGTATAATGCAACTTAATAGGGATTTTTCCATGTAAACCAGTATAATGCAACTTAATAGGGTTTTTTCCATGTAAACCAGTATAATGCAACTTAATAGGGGTTTTTACATGTAAACCAGTATAAAGGATAACAGTTTAAAGGATATCAGGAGCTTCAAATACTTCAGGAGTTTCAAAGATGTTTAAAGTATTTTAACAGTTTCAAGGATTTCAAGGATTTTTCAGCTAAATTCCACATTAGATCTGTTCCGCAGTCAATCGCAATGGCTTCAGCCATTGCAAGTTTCTAGTTGTTATTATTCATTGTTCTTAGTGGTCTCTAAGGCGATGCCCCTTAAGGCAAGTATGTTGGGTGTGGTGGGCAATTCCTGTTTGGCTTATAATGTCAAATAGTCACGGATGTTTAATTTATCTATAGAAATGTTCAATGGGTTTGGAGCTCTGAACTTTGCTAAAAAGGCAGGGTGGATCTTAAATGGGTCACTCAGTTTGATCATTAGGCTAAAGATAAAAAATATATATTCAGTTAAGAAGAAAAAAACCTTAATCCGGCCTGAGCAGTTTTAGGTACAAACAATAATCTGGATTTGAGCACAAGTTTATGCCTTGAAACGGATCTTAATGAATCGTGGAGACTTGTTGGCAACACTGCAGAGAGATATGTACAACAAAAGATGCAACACATAACCATAATATTTCTCTTCCTCAGCTATAAATATGCAACTATTTGTTCCCATAGAAAATAGCGGGGGGGAAAAAAACACTTTGAAACAACTTTTGGTGAATGCATTTTGTTGTGACATTATTAAACCTATTCACTGTTCATATTACCATAAGTGAAGAACAGCGTTTAGAGGACCTCACTGGTGTTTGAACAACAGAATACACGTGTTCTCAGGTTAAAATTGTGCCCTCAGGCTTAGAATTTAGTCAAATTCCCCACATGACTTCCACAAAAAAGCAAGAAAGGAAATTGACTCCTTTTATACTTCATCAAAAGATGCATTGAATTAACAACTGCTAAGCACATTTTATATTTGGCAGATCTCAAGTCGTCAGTCGTCAGTCAGTAGCACGTCAGTTTATCAATTCAAGAGCAGGTTTGGCCAAGCATGTCATTTCAGGCAATAGCCAGTTCTCATTCCCTATGAACTTTGTATAATTGTACCATAATTCAATGAAACATTAGCTTGATTCTGTGCAACAGGAGGATACCTTTAACGCTTTCTCTTTGTCACCATCAATATATGCTTAAAATAAAGATTTCAAGAAACAATATCAGAGGTTATTGGTAGAGAAGGATCTGAAAGCAATGCATGTCAGCAAGAGGAATTCTTGCAGACATACATGACACGACTATTTGAAAGTCGTGGGTTAGAGTCAGCTGCTGCTGCCCGACAACTTCATGTCCTGCATTTTATATATTAAATGCTCACTGCTTCAGTATCAAATAACACAACTAACATATGATTGGACATGTCTCACACATGTTATTTGTATAAATGGACATAAAATGCAGATCCAAGTCCTGTGAAAGTGAAGGAGTACTGCCTGCAGAGTCGCCAATGCAGGCTCCCTCCCCCTCATCATCCCTTCCCTTACTACTCCCCCACCAGCTGGCTCAAGATTCTACTACTAAACCGGTAACCCTCCTGAAAGAAGCCGACCCGGCTCAATGGAGACACACGTCTGCATTAACAAATTAAGACAAAGACATGGAATTGAATCGTTTCGTGAGAAACATCACCTCACACATATGATGCAGGGCCATTTAAATCCTGTCATGAACATTACCTAGCATCATCGCTGCTAATGTCCCCTGTAAAGCAGAGGTACAGACGTATCCCGCCTTCAGACTATGAAGCTGTTAAAGACCACATTAGCCAGCTCTTAAGTGCTCAGGTGATAAGGGAAAGCAGCAGCCCTTATGCGTCCCCTATTGTGTTGGTAAGGAAAAAGGATGGTAGTCTAAGGATGTGTGTGGACTACCGGCAGCTTAATGGCAAGACGCACAAGGACGCATTTCCCCTCCCCCGTATCGAAGAGTCCTTGGATGCCCTGACTGGAGCGCGCTGGTTCTCAACATTAGACCTTGCCAGCGGCTATAACCAAGTGCCTGTTGCAGAAGAGGATCGTCAGAAGACTGCCTTCTGTACTCCGTTTGGGTTATTTGAATTCAATCGAATGCCGTTTGGACTGTGTAATGCCCCCAGCACTTTCCAGCGGCTGATGCAACGTATATTTGGTGATCAACAATACCAGTCCTTACTTCTGTACCTTGATGACATTGTTGTGTTCTCCTCCACAGTAGAACAGCATCTTGAGCGGCTTGGGACTGTCCTCGGCAGGCTGCAAACCCAGAACCTTAAGGTCAAGCTCGCAAAGTGCGCGTTCCTGCAGCAAGAGGTCAGATATCTCGGGCATGTTATATCCAATAAAGGCGTCGCAACTGATCCCGCCAAGATTGAGGCAGTGGCTGGCTGGCCTCGACCAACAACAATCACCGAGCTAAGGTCGTTCATTGGCTTCGCAAGCTACTACCGGCAATTCGTGGAGGGATTTTCTAAGCTGGCTACACCCCTCAATCGCCTGGTGGGCGGGCCAAAGTCCCCAAAAGGGTCCAAGCATGACTTCAACGAGGCATGGACTGAGCAGTGTGAAGCGAGCTTCCAAGAATTGAAGAGTAGACTCACTAATGCCCCTGTCTTGGCGTATGCAGATTTTACTCTACCCTTTATTTTGGAGGTGGACGCCAGCCACGGTGGACTAGGGGCGGTCCTGTCCCAGCAACAAGAGGGAGTTGTGCGTCCTGTTGCTTATGCCAGTAGGGGACTGAAACCGACAGAAAGGAACATGGATAATTACAGCTCCATGAAATTAGAGTTCTTGGCCCTTAAGTGGGCCATGACAGAGAAGTTTAGGGAGTACCTACTGGGGCACAAGTGCCTGGTACTAACAGATAATAACCCCCTGAGTTACCTGTCCACTGCAAAGCTGGGTGCCACTGAACATAGGTGGGCGGCCCAACTCGCATCTTTCGACTTTGACATAAAGTACCGTTCTGGTCGGAGCAACAGAAATGCGGATGCCCTGTCCCGACAGCACCCCCCAGTGGCAGAAGACATTAATTCTGCGGTCCCAGGGAGCATGTTGCCAAAGTCCCTGCAGGAGTTGGTGGAAAGGCAAGAGGTTTCGCAAGCAGCCATCACAGTCTTACCAGACCGTACCACAGTCAATATGCAGGCACTTCAGCAGGCGGATCCTGCCCTCGAGGAAGTTTTAAAGTTTTGGAGGCGGCAACGGCGACCCACGTACAATGAGCGTCAAGGCCTATCGTTATCTGCATTGGGATTCCTGCGGCAGTGGAGTCGCCTTGCCGAAAGAGATGGTGTACTCTGCCGCCGGATTTTCCGCCCGAATTATGCAGAGGAGGCTTTCCAAGTGCTGCTGCCGGCGGTTCTAAAGGATGAAGTATTGACTAACGCCCACCAAGACCATGGCCATCAAGGCGTGGAGCGGACACTGGCACTCTTAAGAGCAAGGTGTTACTGGCCAGAGATGTCCTCCCAAGTAGCAGACTGGTGCAGATTGTGTGAGAGGTGTCAAGTGGCAAAGAACAATAATCCCTCTATACGGACTTATATGGGACATTTGCTAGCTTCGCGGCCCAATGAGACTCTGGCAATGGACTTTACTGTACTCGAACAGTCCCAAGATGGCAGGGAGGATGTGCTTGTCCTCACCGATGTTTTTAGCAAATACACCCTAGCCATTCCCACCAGAGATCAGCGGGCCCAGACGGTCGCCCAGGTACTAGTGACCGAGTGGTTTTCAAAGTTTGGCGTGCCAGCCCGAATTCACTCAGACCAGGGTCGCAATTTTGAAAGTACCCTTATACAGCAACTTTGTCAGTTATATGGGATAGTAAAGTCAAGGACAACCCCTTACCACCCCGCCGGAAATGGACAGTGTGAGAGGTTCAATAGGACACTGCATGACCTGCTGCGTACCCTACCAACAACGCACAAGAGAGCATGGCCCTCTTACTTGCCCCAGGTACTTTTCTGTTATAACACCACGCCACACCAGTCCACAGGGGAAACTCCATTCTTCCTGATGTTTGGCCAACAACCCAGGCTGCCCATGGACTTCCTTCTCAGTCGAGTAGTTGAGCCCGCTGCTGGGGGCGTCCATGAGTGGGTCACAGAGCACCAAACCCGCCTGCGGATTGCTTTCGAGAAGGCCAGTGCGAGACTTGGGACTGCTGCGGACCGAAGGAAGAGAAATAACGATGAGCAGGTCCGGGACCCCCCATTAGTGGAAGGGCAACTGGTGCTTATACGAAACACTGGTTTCCGGGGTCGACATAAAATTCAGGACCGGTGGAGCCCAAACGTGTACAAGGTGGTTGAAGTCCACCTTGACGGAGGTGCGGTATATACAATCGCTCCCCTTGACAACCTGACAAATGTAAAAAGAGTTCATCGGTCCCTTCTCAAACCTGTCCCTGCAGGCACAAGTGCCCCTCCACCCACTGATTTGTCTTTTGACTCTATGTCAACCGAAGAGGACGCGCAGGTGGATTTGTTTCTTAAGGTGTCAAGAGCCCCACCATCTGCCAACAAACATTTGCCTCCTCCTCCACCCGCGGCCCCCCCAGATGTCACCCCTCCGCCGGCCAGTGGGGCACAAACTTTCCGTAGGACTACCAGAGTCACAGCAGGACAGCACTCCAACCTCAATAGACTTCCACGACCAACAGTGGGAACGGCGCACGGGGCTGCTGCATCACCAGGCCCTTGACCTAGAGCTGTTTGGTAGTGTAGTTAACCTCGGTCGCCGGGACGTCGACCCAAAAAGGGGGGGGTAGGTGTGACAATATGAATTAAACTGTGCTTGAAACGGGTCGCGCCTGTCCCCTTAAGACACAGCATTTGGTTCGCTCTATAAATGCGCGTCTCTCTCTCGGGTGCGCCCCTTTTGGACACGCCCCCCCTGCTGCTTCCCAGTCTGCGTCTGGCCAGGCTGACGAGGGGCTGCCTTACACTCTGCAGCCGCGACTGCGCGCGCACTCTGTCATAGTGTGTTCCCCTAGTGACAGCTCTGCTACGCCGCTGCAGCTCATGTGGGTTAGCCTGGTCCTGGCTTTGCACAATGCCAAGGGAGGTTAAATCCCTCAACATTAGCTCAAGTCCCCAAACCTGAGTGGTCCTGTGGTCCCATGCAGGCTGCCTGCCTTTTGCCTCGAGTATTGAAGTGGTAAGAAAAGGAGAGTAATGAAAATGGCTTAAATAGTAAACTAAATTCTAAACATCTCAGCAGTGGTGTGGGCTTATTGAACCCACTTGAACGTACTTTCTAGTCCTCTTCATCGAAAGTAACAAGGTAAAAAAAGCATTTATCTTTGTATATGAATTTCTTTTCACATTAGCTCCTAACAGGCTATTTTATTAACAGCACTCCCTGTGAGCCAGCCCATGATAGCCAGCCGCAACGCTTCTCCTGGCCCCATATTGAAGCGCTCACTGTTGTTTTGCCTAGAGATTATGTTGGACTCTACATTGTTAATGAATATACTGTAAACTTGACCTGACTGTCTGTGATTCTGGGATGAAAGTGTATCGTTATCTGCACTAAACTTTACTTTTGTTTTAGGAGCTGAGGTTCCATGTGGGTGCACTGGTGACCCCTGGTGGTGGTGTTTGAGCCGAACGGTCTAGGTTCCCCTTTTTGTGTTTTGTAGTGTCTGCTGTGCCAGGGGGTTCTACTCCTCGTCCAGTTGCTAACTCCCCTCTTTCTTTTGCCACAACTTCCCACTGTAGCCTCAGCCCTCTAATTTTAAACAGGTCCCATCCTGAGTGGGCAGTTTTAACTTTAAATGTATTAAAAATGAAATTCCTATAGTTTGAATAAATTAACAATGGTTGAAGTATGAATGGTCCGGCCCTCACCTTAATAAACCACCATTTTGTACAGGATGGAGTCTGGTATTTCATTTCTCTTTGAAGTTATCGAATCTGTGTGTCTTTGGTATTTTCCATGGCGTTGCTGATCATTACTTTCACTCATTTATCCAGGCATTCAATTTTGGTACATTCATTTAAATCTATTCCCATATCTTTTCAATATGCCACAGTATGTATATATGTGTACTGTATGTATGTATATATGTGTACTGTATGTATGTATATATGTGTGGGCGGCACGGTGGCAGTGGATAGCACTCTCGCCTCTCAGCAAGAAGGTCCTGGGTTCGAATCCCGGCCGGACCAGGGCCTTTCTGAGTGGAGTTTGCATGTTCTCCCCGTGTCTGCGTAGGTTTCCTCCGGGTACTCCGGTTTCCCCTACCACTAAAAATATGTACAATAGTTCTGGCATGTGCCTCCTGTTCGGCGACCCAGCTCCCATCTCTGTGTGGAGTGAGAGACAAGTGCCCAAAAAATAACAAATTGTAAACCGCTTTGTGACTCTAGTCTGTGAAAGGCGGTATATAAATAAAGCTTACTTACTTACTATGTGTACTGAATGTATGTATATATGTGTACTGTGTGTATGTATGTATGTATATATGTGTACTGTATGTATATATGTGTACTGTATGTATGTATATATGTGTACTGTATGTATATATGTGTACTGTATGTATGTATATATGTGTACTGTATGTCATTGTGCAACAATAACACAGTCACTTACAGTATTTACATAAACAAACATACAGAATATCATTCTGGTAGAACTGTGACAAATGTAAACAATAAAACACACACCCCTCATGAGTCAAAGCTGAAATCCACCTGAGAGATATTGTTCAATTTAGGAAAGAGTTACAGGAGAAAAAGGTTAAAGAATGTATGAAATTAGTTTGACAAATATGATTTTGAACTAGTTCAACAGATTTGTGACGATCAGAGCGATGGAATGAGGACAGTTAGTTTTATAGAGAAAGACTATTCAGAAGTCATAATGCATGATACAGACTGCATGATACAGACACAGACTGCATGATAGAGACACAGACTGTGATACAGACACAGACTGTGAAACAGACACAGACTGCATGATACAGACATAGACTGCATGATACAGACACAGACTGCATGATAGAGACACAGACTGTGATACAGACACAGACTGCATGATAGAGACACAGACTGTGATACAGACACAGACTGCATGAGAGAGACACAGACTGTGATACAGACACAGACTGCATGAAAGAGACACAGACTGTGATACAGACACAGACTGCATGATAGAGACACAGACTGTGATACAGACACAGACTGCATGAAAGAGACACAGACTGTGATACAGACACAGACTGCATGATAGAGACACAGACTGTGATACAGACACAGACTGCATGATAGAGACACAGACTGTGACACAGACACAGACTCCATGAAAGAGACACAGACTGTGATACAGACACAGACTGTGATACAGACACAGACTACATGATAGAGTTAGAGACTGTGATAGAGACACAGACTGCATGATAGAGGCACAGACTGCATGATAGAGACACAGACTGCATGATAGAGACACAGACTGCATGATAGAGACACAGACTGAAATACAGACACAGACTGCATGACAGAGACAGACTGCACGATAGCGACACAGACTGTGATACAGACACAGACTGCACAGACTGTGATACAGACTGCACAGACTGTGATACAGACACAGACTGTGATACAGACACAGACTGTGATAGAGACACAGACTGTGATACAGACACAGACTGCATGATAGAGACACAGACTGTGATACAGACACAGACTGCATGACAGAGACAGACTGCACGATAGCGACACAGACTGTGATACAGACACAGACTGCATAATACAGACACAGACTGCACAGACTGTGATACAGACTGCACAGACTGTGATACAGACACAGACTGTGATACAGACACAGACTGTGATAGAGACACAGACTGTGATACAGACACAGACTGTGATACAGACACAGACTGTGATAGAGACACAGACTGTGATACAGACACAGACTGTGATACAGACACAGACTGCATGATAGAGACACAGACTGCATGATAGAGACACAGACTGCATGATAGAGACACAGACTGCATGATACAGACAGACTGAATGATAGAGACAGACTGCATGATACAGACACAGACTGTGATACAGACACAGACTGCATGATAGAGACACAGACTGCATGATAGAGACACAGACTGTGATACAGACACAGACTGCATGAGTGAGACACAGACTGTGATACAGACACAGACTGCATGATAGAGACACAGACTGTGATACAGACACAGACTGCATGAGAGAGACACAGACTGTGATACAGACACAGACTGCATGATAGAGACACAGACTGTGATACAGACACAGACTGTGATACAGACACAGACTGCATGATAGAGACACAGACTGTGATACAGACACAGACTGCATGATAGAGGCACAGACTGCATGATAGAGACACAGACTGCATGATAGAGGCACAGACTGCATGATAGAGACACAGACTGTGATACAGACACAGACTGCATGACAGAGACAGACTGCACGATAGCGACACAGACTGTGATACAGACACAGACTGCATGATAGAGACACAGACTGCATGATACAGACACAGACTGTAATACAGACACAGACTGTGATACAGACACAGACTGTGATACAGACACAGACTGTGATAGAGACACAGACTGCATGATAGAGACATAGACTGTGATACAGACACAGACTGCATGATAGAGACACAGACTGTGATACAGACACAGACTGCATGATAGAGACACAGACTGTGATACAGACACAGACTGCATGATAGAGACACAGACTGTGATACAGACACAGACTGCATGATAGAGACACAGACTGTGATACAGACACAGACTGCATGATAGAGACACAGACTGCATGATAGAGACACAGACTGTGATAGACACAGACTGCATGATAGAGACACAGACTGCATGATACAGACAGACTGAATGATAGAGACAGACTGCATGATACAGACACAGACTGTGATACAGACACAGACTGCATGATAGAGACACAGACTGTGATACAGACACAGACTACATGATAGAGACACAGACTGTGATACAGACACAGACTGCATGATAGAGACACAGACTGTGATACAGACACAGACTGTGATACAGACACAGACTGCATGATAGAGGCACAGACTGTGATAGACACAGACTGCATGATAGAGACACAGAATGTGATGGACACAGACTGCATGATACAGACAGACTGCATGATACAGACAGACTGCATGATACAGACACAGACTGCATGATAGAGACAGACTGCATGATACAGACACAGACTGTGATACAGACACAGACTGCACATACTGTGATACAGACACAGACTGCACAGACTGTGATACAGACACAGACTGTGATACAGACGCTAAAAATATGTACAATAGGTCTGGCATGTGCCTCCTGTACTGGCACCCCCACTCCCAAAAATAACAATTGTAAACCGCTTTGAGACTCCGATGTGCAGTGAAAAGGTGGTATATAAATAAAGATTACTTACTACTAGATTAATACTACAGACACAGACTGTGATACAGACACAGACTGCATGATAAAGACACATGTGTTTGTGTGTGTGTCTGTGTGTTTGTCTGTGCATGTGTGTGTGTGTCTGTGTGTTTGTCTGTGCATGTGTGTGTGTGTCTGTGCATGTGTGTCTGTGTGTTTGTCTGTGCATGTGTGTGTGTGTGTGTGTTTGTCTGTGCATGTGTGTGTGTCTGTGTGTTTGTCTGTGCATGTGTGTGTGTGTGTGTGTCTGTGCATGTGTGTATGTCTGTGTGTTTGTCTGTGCATGTGTGTGTGTGTGTGTGTGTCTGTGCATGTGTGTGTGTGTGCATGTGTGTGTGTCTGTGTGTTTGTCTGTGCATGTGTGTGTGTGTGTCTGTGCATGTGTGTGTGTGTGTAGAATGATAATAAACCTGGAGGTCAGGTGGAGTGCTTCGATACAGGAAGTGTGTGTCTTTGATGCGTTGTCACGGGGGAGAAGGCGAAACCTTTTTGTGAAGCGTGAGGAGAATAACTTAAAATAGTTAAAATACAACTCAAACATGAAGCTTCTTTAATATTGTTGGAAAATCTTGAATTAAACGGAAAAATGAATGATGGTGTTTAAACAATTGAATCGGAACAAAGACACTGAGATGGAGTGAGGGATAATCATGGAAAATCATTTTAGAATATATTTGAAATGTGTACAATTCTGAAACCCATGATTTGTTTGTACCTTTCATCCCATTATCCAAATGAGTAAATAACAAAAATAAGCTGTTTTTAGCTTTTATTATTTTTTCTAAAATAATCCAAGTAAAAGAGTCTTCAGGCCACGAGCCACATTTGACTCTTTGGGCTCAAGGTGATTGGCCAGTCTGTAAAAACAAGAATCATGTACCGTATGTGATGGCACCAAACTGTTATGAATTTAACCACATTTATAGTTATTTGAAAATGTTAATAACTGTAAGTTATTTGAATACAATTTGTGCATCATTCAAACAACACTATCAACTCTTGGTCATAGAAAAAGAGTTTGAATACAAGCAAATGTAATTGGGAAAAGAATAGTATTGCATGTGCATTGGAAGCCTTGTGTAGTCTTTGATCCTTGTGTCTGTCGCCGGGGGAGACGGAGGCAGAGGTTCGGTCCATC